CCTGCCGATGCAGGGGACACAGGTTCGTGCCCCAGTCTGGGAAGATCCCACATGCCACAGAGCGGCTGGGCCCGTGAGCCATGGCCGCTGAGCCTGCGCGTCCGGAGCCTGTGCTCTGCGACGGGAGAGGCCACGGCGGTGAGAGGCGCATGTACCGCAAAAAAAAAATAAAAATAAAAAAAATAAACAAACAAATTTATTTATTTATTTATTTATTTATGGCTGTGTTGGGTCTTCATTGCTGGGCACAGGCTTTCTCTAGTTGCAGTGAGCGGGGGCTACTCTTCGTCGCGATGCACAGGTTTCTCATTGCAGTGGCTTCTCTTTGTTGTGGAGCACGGGCCCTAGGTGCACGGGCTCAGTAGTTGTGGCGTACAAGCTTAGTTGCTCCGCGGCATGTGGGATCTTGCCAGGCCAGGACTCGAACCCATGTTGTCTGCAGTGGCAGATGGATTCTTAACCGCTGCGCCATCATGGAAGTCCCTCTTTTTCAGTTTTGAAAATATGTCTCTTAGAAAACAAAAATACTATACAGTGTATAAAGCAAGAAATAAAAAACACCTTACTGCTTTTCCTTTCTAGTTCCCAGAAATAACCACCACTGAAAATGCATTTTCTCTATATATTTATATATATGTCAGTTTATCTATTATTTTACATAAATGGGATCAAACTATATATAATATTCTCTAACATGCCTTTTTAGTTTAATAATATATCAGGTTTCTTTAATGCATATAGAATTACATCAATATTTACTGTGTAGAGTGTAGTATATAATGAACCAATTTACTTAACCAATCCCCTCCTGATGGACATTCATATTGCTTCCAGTTTTTCCCTGTCATAAAAATGCTGCAATAAACATCTTCATACTAATAAACTTGAACAGTTATGTGATATGAGTAAAAGGCAAATTTCTGTAAGTGGAATTAATGAGTAAAAGAAGATGTGCATTTCTGTACCAGATGTAAGACAATGAGTAAAAAAGCAAAAGGTTTTCCTACCCAAAATTTTCAGACACTACAATACAAGAATGAACTAGCAATTCCAGTTTTAAATCTATTTCCATTATCCTTACGATAAGTAGAAACTCATTTCAGATTACCGAATAGGCTACAGACACTAGTTTCCAAATTTATTGCAAGTTTTTATCCTTTTTATGTCTCCATGGATCTCTAGTGAGAGGGTGCATTAGGAAGAGCTAATCAGTTATTTGTATTTTTATTTTTTTTAGTTATTTCTGAGATATACATTTTAAAATACTAACTAGAATTATGACTTATAACATTATACCAGAACATATAAGATTTTTAGGAATTTCATGTAATGTCTGAAACATTTATATTAACATATTTCCATACAAATAACCCAAAGAAAGTTTAGCACTAGTTTTGTTTTTTTTAAGTTTTTAAATTTTATTTATTTTTTTATACAGCAGGTTCTTATTAGTCATCAATTTTAACACATCAGTGTATATATGTCAATCCCAATCTCCCAATTCATCCCACCACCACGCCCACCACCACCACCACTTTCCCCCCTTGGTGTCCATACATTTGTTCTCTACATCTGTGTCTCTATTTCTGCCCTGCAAACTGGTTCATCTGTACCATTTTAATAGGTTCCACATATATACATTAATATACAATATGTGTTTTTCTCTGACTTACTTCACTCTGTATGACAGTCTCTAGATCCATCCACATCTCAACAAATGACCCAATTTCGTTCCTTTTTATGGCTGAGTAATATTCCATTGTGTATATATATATGTACCACCGCTTCTTTATCCATTCGTCTGTCAATGGGCATTTGGGTTGCTTCCATGACCTGGTTATTGTAAATAGTGCTGCAATGAACGTTCGGGTGCATGTGTCTTTTTGAATTATGGTTTTCTCTGGGTGTATGCCCAGTAGTGAGATTGCTGGATCATATGGTAATTCTATTTTTAGATATTTAAGGAACCTCCATACTGTTCTCCATAGTGGCTGTATCAATTTACATTCCCACCAACAGTGCAAGAGGGTTCTCTTTTCTCCACACCCTCTCCAGCATTTGTTGTTTGTAGATTTTCTGATGAAGCCCATTCTAACTGGTGTGAGGTGATACCTCATTGCAGTTTTGATTTGCATTTCTCTAATAATTAGTGATGTTGAGCAGCTTTTCATGTGCTTCTCGGCCATCTGTATATCTTCTCTGGAGAAATGTCTATTTACGTCTTCTGCCCATTTTTGGATTAGGTTGTTTGTTTCTTTAATATTGAGCTGCATGAGCTGTTTATATATTTTGGAGATTAATCCGTTGTCCGCTGATTCATTTGCAAATATTTTCTCCCATTCTGAGGGTTGTCTTTTCGTCTTGTTTATGGTTCCCTTTGCTGTGCAAAAGCTTTTAAGTTTCATTAGGTCCCATTTGTTTATTTTTGTTTTTATTTCCATTAATCTAGCAGGTGGATCAAAAAAGATCTTGCTGTGACTTATGTCACAGAGTGTTCTTCCTATGTTTTCCTCTAAGAGTTTTCCAGTGTCCACTCTTAAAATTAGGTCTCTAATCCATTTTGAGTTTATTTTTGTGTATGATGTTAGGAAGTGCCCTAATTTCATTCTTTTACATGTAGCTGTCCAGTTTTCCCAGCACCACTTATTGAAGAGGCTGTCTTTTCTCCATTGTATATCCTTGCCTCCTCTATCATAGATTAGTTGACCATAGGTGCATGGGTTTATCTCTGGGCTTTCTATCTTGTTCCATTGATCTATAGTTCTGTTTCTGTGCCAGTACCATATTGTCTTGATTACTGTAGCTTTGTAGTATAGTCTGAAGTCAGGGAGTCTGATTCCTCCAGCTCCATGTTTTTCCCTCAAGACTGCTTTGGCTATTCGGGGTCTTTTGTGCCTCCATACAAATCTTAAGATTTTTTGTTCTAATTCTGTAAAAAAATGCCATTGGTAATTTGATAGGGATTGCACTGAATCTGTAGATTGCTTTGGGTAGTATA